TGGAAAGTTAGAATTTTATTACAAAAGCTATTTTGTTTTATTTTAGACATTAGCTAGAAAGATGAAGTCTATACAACACCATTGGCAATAAAGGGGGCTGACAAGCACAAGGCCTTCATTCTTATAGGCAGCTGAGCTGTCGATCTTATATGTCCCCTTTCTCTTACTGGGAAGATATTTATGATATAAATCATTTATGCAGATAATGATTATATTGAAGAAAAGATGTCATCTCTGTCTTCCAACAAATGCCAAATAATCAGGGACAGCAATTTGTTCTGTGGGGGAAAGCCTAACAGAGTAAAATAGAGGCTTTGTTCTTCCTTTTCATTTAAAATAATTTATTGGGAATTTCATACATCAATATAAGGTGTTTTGATCAAATCCATGCCCACTCCCTTCCCCCCAAACCCTCCAATATCTACCTATGAGTTCTTTAATAGTTATTTCATCTAAGAACTTGAATTTGTTATCAGATATATTTAATAGTGCAAATTTAGATATTTACAAAACAGCAACAAGTTGCTGCTATAAATGAAGATGTCTCATCAGGTAATGGTTTAAAAATGTACTAATGAGGGCTATGCTGTCATGTTTTAAAAATCAGCATCTTCTCTGGTGAATTAACTCTCTTTCAGTGAGCAGCACATGGTAAAGCAAAACCCTGAGAAAGCCTTTCTTTTCTTCCTGGCCCGGAGGGTAGCAAGGATGATTTCCTTTGATAGTGGCCACTTTTCTATGTCAGGGGACAATTTAATGTAAAAAGACAAGCAGCACCAGAGAGACAGAGCTGATGTGCTAACTTTGGATATTAGTCTTTCTAATGGCACAGCAAATTGCAGTTGTTAGGAACTCTGGAATTAGAATTGGGGGCTTAAATCCCAGCTCAACCACTTACTAGATTTGCAACTTTCGGCAAGTTAGTAAAGTGCTAAAAGAACTACAAAAGGTAAATAATTTCTTACCTTGCCAGACGTTTATAAAAGTAAAGGAGGTCAGGAATAACAGACAATTAACAAGGGATCTAGGAATGTACAATGAATGCTTTACTGAACATTAATAATTGTCTTTCTGTAGTAAACTTTGGCTTTAACAAAGAAAAGTTTATAATATATTAAAACATACAAAAATGTGTAGGGAAATATTTTGGGAAAAAAGCAGAAATCATGAAGACATACATAATGACAGACTTTAAGAGAAAAATGGGGAGCAAATTCAGATACAAGGATACACAGCTCAAAATAACAATACCTTTGTAATGGTATTATAATAATTTCACATGGGGCTACTTTCATAAGAAGATAAGGAATGGGGTATTTGAGTAGCAGAAATACATGGGAACAGCATGAAGCAGCATCAGCTAGGACAATGGACCAAATCAAACAGGTTGGAGAAATGAGACCTTATCTTAAACTCAACAGGTGAGAAAATGGCAAACTGTTCTTTAGTGAAACTGATTGTTTATCAAGATATCGACACAGATACTAAATGATGTAGCTCTAAATCCTGTTCTAGGTATTTTCTGGGTGTGTGTCCATGCACAAGCTGTCTTGCCTCTCTGGTTCTCAGTTCTTCATCTGTAAAAATTGGTTAGTAATAATACCTATGCAGAGGGATTGCTTGAAGTTCAATGAGTTACTATAAATAGAGCACTAGATTCATGTGTAATGCCTACTAATTGCATTATAATTATAGCTATTATTTTTTTTACTTTTATTATTTTTTTAATTTTTTTACAATTAAAGTTACAGTTTTAACAATATACAAAATATTACAGTAATTCAGATTTTTTGGCATAATGATTACAGATTTGATAAATACATTTTATATTCTATAATAGCGATGAAGATTATACAAAAGCTATTAAAACAATTATAAGAGTATTATTATTTTAAACAATATCTGAAGTGCAGTTTATATGGCTATGACTAAATCATTTGCATATGATTATCCCCTTATGTGTCTATTCATTTTATTAACTTCACTTTACATGATTCTCATATTTTTTCTGTATAGTTTTCAATGGAGAAAGATTCATTTACATGGTGCTCTTCTATTCTGTATTTTTACCTTTAGTTAATTGTGCAAGATTTTATATTCCTTAGTGAAGTCATTCTCAAGCTTTTCTGGACATTAGCATCCTCTGTGTAAGCATAAGTAAGGAAATTTCGGAATCCACTTTAGATTGATAAAGTTAAACTCTCTGTTGGAAGGGATGTATTTTTAAAGTTTAGGTGATTTTTAGGTGTAGTTGTGAGAATCAAATGCTTTTCGAGGAATTTGACAGTTTGTTTATCCTCCTTCCTTCAACCAAAATTTAAATGGTTTACAAATATAGGTATGTGTAATATAAATGTATAATACAAAATTAAACAATAATACATGTGCATTAATAAGAGAGTTCAACACCCTGAATGCATTAATTAAGGTGTGATAAAGATATTGGTCAAGGGCTGGAGAGATGGCTCAGTGCTTAAGAGCACTGACTGCTCTTGCAGAGAACTTGGGTTAAGTTCCCTGCACCCACATGGAAGAAAAGAACCATCTGTAACTCCAATTCAACGGAATTCAACATCCTTCTCTGATCCTCATGGGCATTTGCACAACATGTGTGCAATCACATACACATGGCACAACACTCATACACATAAAATAAAAACAAATAAAAGATATTGGTCCAGATCCTGCAGGCCACAAATATGCTGCAAGCGTGGGTATGGGTAGATACAGACAAAACTGCAAAAGCTAGTTTAGCTCCTCGGGACTGACCACCACAAGTTGCTACCTCTTCGCCCTACTGATCAACAGTTTTCTCCCTTTTTCTTCTTTAGTGAGATTAAAAGTGAAGCTCACCATGATTCTTACTAATTTACAAAATAATTTTTCCAGCATATAAATCATCTATATCCTTAAACATACCTTTTAGTTCACCTGACACTTTATTTTTCTAGATTAAAGGTTGGTTTGTAAAAAAGTGATGGACAGACTTACATTCTAATAGGAGGTTGCTGTCTCCCAGTGTGTGTCTTAAGTACAGTTGATGAATCAATTGTTGTTGATTATCCAGATCAACAAAAACGTTTACATAAAAATATAACAAAAAGCAGTTTTTTTCTGTTTCCCTTCAGATATTTACCCTCTGCAGAGATGTGTGCATTTATTATCCACAACCCCTCCTTCATAACCACTTATAGAGTCATCTAATCAGTCTTGCTCAGTGTCACCTGTTCTTCCAAATCAGTGGTCAATATTCTCTCTTCATTTTTCTTGATTTGTCATTTGCATTTGACATGGATCCTCCTCAGTAAACACAAAGCTAAGAAACTGATTCTTACACCCAACTGCATACCCCATGTGTTTACTGTGTATAAATAGACATCTCACACTTAACATGTACTTAGGAGATTTTTGGTTCTTTGTTCCCTAATGTAATTTTCTTAGAATAGTACATCTCTCCACTTCCATCTTGTTACAAGCCACAGTGATCTCCGGCTTTCATCCTTAAAATAGTCCCTGAACTACTGTCTCTTTGCCTGATGTCTCAAAACATCAGCCAGAGTGACACTGAAAATATAAAACCCATCATCACTTTTGTGTTCAGATCTCTCCAATGACTTCTAAAGTCTAAATACAATATAAGCCTTTATAAGAACTATATTCGATATAGGTCTCCCACACGACAGTTGGTGCCTCAGTGCACTCATGTACTAACTTCTAGACACTGCTAATGCCATAATGCTGTGTGGAAAAACTTTTGTAATAGTCAGTTTATGGAAACTTAGCAGGCAATTCCACTTCTAGATTTTCATCATCAATTAAAAATAGAAGTGGCAAATGTAATGGAGAATTAAGAAATATTTGGTTATAGCATTTGTGTACTTTTAAAATAAATTCCATGGCTGGAAACTTTGGCTAGAAATAATTGACTAAAAAGAAATCAAAATGAGCTTATCTTAGAAACTATAATTTAGATGAAATTTCATTTACTAAAATATTTTCATTGCTTTGTGAAGGAATCCTCATTTGAATTTTCCAGAGGAAATAAAATACTTTTTTTGGCTGGAATCAGAATTACATAAAAATTACATGACACTTTCCTGTAATGCCTTGTATAAATCATGTACATTAATAAAACTTATGAAATGTGTATACACAAATATTTTCATATGAGCATATATATTGTTTTATATCCACTCATAACCCATTTTATGAGGATTTCAAAGATGAAATAGTATCTGACTCAAATAAAGAAAAGAGGTGACAAAATAACATGCATATTAATGTGTAATATTATAAATATATTATTCTTGTGTGTGACTGAAATCTACAATGACTCAAAATTGAATTAAACTTTTTCCAAAGGCAAAATGCTACATTAATTAAAAATAACGAAGTATAGAGGACATTTTATTAATTATTACTAACAGAGATACAACTAGAGTATCTAAATTACTGTTAATATTACTGAAATACAAAGAATATTTTCATTCTCGACAAAGTCCAAATACAAAACTTAATGTAGATAAAACCCATTAGGTACTTCAGTTAACTTTTTACTATGGCCTGAAATTGACCCTTTCTGGATAACATGTTAAAATATAATTGTCAGCTGGCTAGGTTATTCAATGCCTGCTATCAAATACGATGATCTAAGTTCCATTCATCAGACATGCATGGTGGAGGGAGAGAACCATTCACACAAGTTATCCTGTGACTTTCACAAGCATGCTGTGGTACACACACTAATATAATAAAAATAAAATTACTTGTCAGTGTAAGAAAACTGGGAGTAGACTTCTTTAGGAAATGGTTAGGCCATGGGGACTTGACTCATGTGAGTGGGTTTAAAACCTTTATGAAAGTGCTTATAGCATTGGAGTCTTTTGGGGAGGCTGTTCACTGTCAGACATATGAGGATCTAGTTTTCTCCTCAAAAAAGGATGAGACTTTGAAGGTGCCAATTTTGAAGCAGAGACTAGGCACTTGGCAATCAAATCTGAAGCACGTTTTGTATATGCTTGTTTAACGGGTGGACAAAGGCATGAAAGACAGGTGCATAAACGAATCTTTTGCAACTTAGAACTCATTGTTCAGTATGAGTTTTGATATACACAGAGTGGAATATGACACAGCAGCTCAAAGTAATGGTGTTGAGAGAAAAGATGGTGAAGGAAAGAGGTATGCCCCACACAGTGGGCCTCTTCATTTCACTAAGAATATTGATGCTTCTATATTGATCTCAAAATTCTGAATTCATGACTTGGCAAGTAAGAGGAAAAATAACTGGAGAGCCCAGACGGCAGAGCTGAGCTGACCTCACTGCCCACACACAATGATAGAACAAAGCCAGCCTGGCTGCCCACAAGCACCTGTAAGCCGGAGGAGAGCCAGCCTTCCCACCCATGCACCCACGGTTGCCTGACCATTATCGTCACCCGGTGGCTGTCAAGGCCTGGCTTTAGTTCTCAACATTAGGCATGTGAGAAATCGACAAGTTTCTGAAAATAAGCTAGGGAACACCAGCGCAAAACTGTCATGCAAAGTTGTGAAACTTCCCAACTGCCACTTGGAGAAGCTTGGATGGGAGGCCTGTGAGTTAATTGATGCCTGCTACGAGGACCTATCTGCTTCTTTAACCCACAGCAAAATTCTATGGGAAATCAGCGTGTTGGCGAATATCTTGGTCCACAGTGGGGTCATTGTGTTGACTGAGGCTTGGAAACAACAAAAGCGTAACCTGCATTCAAGGGTTGTAACAACTAACTTTGAAGAGGAAAACCAAGCATTTCTGTTCACTGAGAAAAAGAGAAATCTCTATTTGACATTCCTAAGCAATGTAAGAGAAACAGAAATTAACAGTGAAAATCCCATTCCAAGAATGTAGGCATATTCTCATCTAAAACCACATACAAAGGAAAGGGAGTGGACCTTTACTTTGGCACAACTCTGTGCAAGAATTAGAGATCATTGCCGGGTGTGGTGGCACACGCCTTTAATCCCAGCACCCAGGAGGCAGAGTCAGGAGGATCTCTGTGAGTTCAAGGCCAGCCTGGTCTACATAGTGAGTTCCAGGACAGCTGGGGCTACAGAGAGACCCTGTCTCAAAAAGACCAAAATCCAGCTCAGAGGTATGTGTGAGACCAGCTGACACCACCTCAGAGGTATGTGTGAGATCTGTGGAATTTTTCATTTGCTAAGAGAATGCAGAATTAGGTGGTGGAGTTGGGGGTGGAGGGTGATAGGATGGAGGCAGAGATGGGAGAGGAGACCTGAATATAATCAAAATTAATTGTATGAAATTCTTGAAATAATAAAAATTCTCTTAACCTTAAAAAATGGAACCAAACCTGTTTGCTCCTTGATCTTAGATTTTCCAGCTCCCGTAACAGTCACATGCAAATTTATTTTCTTTATATATTATCCAGTGATGAATAGTGTGTTATAATGGCTAGAATTAAACTATGACAACTATGTCTCAAATTCATTGAGTGTTGCCTGTTCAATTATCATAAAACATACTGAAAATATTCATATAACTTGTTCATAAATATCCAGTGTTATTTTATTACTCAGACCTTGATAATTCACCCTTTAAGCATTCAGGAAAATGCTGAAATTACTTTTACACATTTAATTTTTAAAAGAAACACAATGTGTTCAGTGATAAATGGAGCCCAGAGCAAGATAATCCAGTTCGTTCTTAATTGCAACAGTTATTTTTCTATAACCTACTTGTGTAACTTCTCTGCCCCACACTTGTGTCATCTATCAACAAGAGTTTTTAAGCTAGCGAATCTTGTTATTGACCAACTGTACATGTCAATACTGTAGATTATATCTTAGAGAAAATTAATGGTGATACAAATACTTCCATATGTTATTGCTAAATTATTGCCACTTGTATAATAGCTAGGAAAAAGAGCTGGTCTAGATGTCCATCAACAGATGAATGTATGAAGAGAATGTGACATGCATATAAAATGACATTATACAGATCTGTGAAGACAAATGAAGACATGGCATTTTCAGAAAAAAAAAAACAAAACTGTTGCATGTTATATTAAGAAAAAAAGCTGACTCAAAAAGAAAAAGACCACGTTTTCTCTCATATGTGGATATTGATTTTAAATTTTATGCCTGCATGTAGAGGAGGGGTATAGTTATGAAAGTAGAAAATGGATTATAAAAGGGATAAACAAGTTTTAAGGGACAGAAAGGCTGATAGAGTACAAATGACAAGAAGACAAAACCAGGCAAATAGTAAGGGGCTCAAGAGGTAGTGGTCGGAGGACAAGGATGGGAGAGGGGAGAGGGGAGAAAGGGAAAAAATGTGTGGAATGCCGTCATTAAACCAACTGTCTTTGCATGCTAATATAATTCTTGATTAAAACTCGTATAAATGAATATGGAAGAAAAATATTACCATCGTTTAAGAGGTATACCTTCAGTATTAGCATTGTTGATAAATAGAGCCAAACAATTTCCCAGATTCAGCTGCCTGATTGTGAGCAGAGTGTGTGTAGGAGGAGAGCAGGCCTTGAGCAGGCTCTAGAAGAACATGGTATGCAAAGCTGGTTGCACAGTAAATTAGGGTTCAGGAGTTGACAATCTAATAATAATGCCAAAATATCAAATCCAGGCTTCATTTTGACCCTCCACAGCACAGACTATGTGTTTGGGTTTGAAAGCAGCAGCCACAGAGAACAGTTGTGAGGTAGATGCATGTATATGGAGAAAGGGTAGGTACTCACTAAGAAAGAAGCAAAATAATGTAAAGTGGAGAATCCCACAGAATGAAAGAGAGAGACACTGTAGACAAGAATTCAGAAGTGACTATTGCCATTGAATGTTCTAAAATTCTGCTCTTTTTTTGAGCAGAAATAAGGAAAACAGATCATATCTATACATCACAACTGTGGTCAAACAGAAATGAGCTACATTATTGATAACAGAAAATTTTCCTCCAAAACTAAAGAGATGAATAAAAATGTAATACACTAAATTAAATACTCAACCAAGTGTGGATATAAAAGCTTCCTTCAGCCAGAAGCACAAATATACATATGAATAGGAAGAAAATGAGTTCTGATGAAACAAGTTAATTGATTCAGGAAAGAACGCAAAGAAAATGTTAAAATTGTATCAGCAATGAATGTGAGTTATATGGTACCAGAGGATGGAGGCTTCAAATGAACACTTAATGAAGGGTACTAAGTAAAATCAAGAGTTGAAATTGTTGAGAATGAGTAGGACAAAGAATAGAGGTCAGAAAGAAAATAGGTTAAATGGAAGAAAGGTTTCACAATTTCATTTTGTATAATTTAAGAAGAATGTCAAATTCATGAAATACAATAGAATAAATAAATACAAGCATAATACATAAAAATTTTCAAAGATAAAAAAACTTCTAGTATAAACTTGAAAATGCCTACTGGGTATTTGAGAAAATTGACTTGGTAAAGTCACCTCTGAGACAAATTTTAATAAATCATTTAGTTAAAGATAAAGAAAACATTCTTCAGGGCCTCCAGAGTATGCACTTACAAAAATTTGAGTGTTAGACTGTTAGCCAAGTTCATCACAAACGACATGAAAGCCAGGAATGAATAAAGCGGACTTTTAAGGAACTTGAAGAAATAGAGTACACACTCAGGATCCCAACCCGAATTAAGCAGTTCTAGGAGAAAAGGACTATAGGTAAAAGCTTTGGACATGGATAGTAATATCTTATTTTATATATTTTTCCTTCTAGGGAACACTCAAAAGCTTTATCTGAACAAGTGTTGATGGGAAATTTTAACCAAAGCACTGATGGTGAGAAACTCGTATTTTAATTTTAGTACTAATATAAATAGTGTCTAGGGTCTTCATGGATTTTCTGCTTCAAAGAGACAAAGAAACACATGGGGAGGTGCTATTTTTCTTTACTTTTCCACGAATATTGGATATAGTCTTTCTTGTCACATGTGATCTGAGTCATTGCACAGCTAGAGCAGTTGCACCCATCTTGGCATCTCTTCACCCCAATACTCTTGTTCCAATAACACAGTCTTTCCTAATTCCGAGAAAATAGAAACCATCTTGCATTAGACTTGGTACAGTGCTGATTCCTCCCTTCATTCTGTATCTGTAAATTTACCTGAATCAAGTTTATCCCCATACATCAATTTCTGGTACATAATCATATTCATATTAATGAATAATTTTTCCCTAGGCCATAAATGTTTTAAGGACTTTTGAATGCATTTCTGAATTTCCAGTTACCAGATTAACAACAAATCTAACAAATTTCTATTTTAGATACATAACACATCTCAGAATTGTGGAGCTTTTCTCATATAATATGCAGACACATATTATAATAATTGAATTTTGGCTAATAGCCCCAGATCTTTCTTGAGATTCAGCCTCATAATAAAAGTAGCAGTTTGATGTCTTACATTGAAATGACATGCAATGAGCCCACATCTACCTTATTTCTCTCATTTTGCATCTGATCTGCCTCCCTGCACCATCTTTCCTTAGTGTTATAGCAGTTCCCAACCACTTCAAGCAAAAAGATATTATACTTGATTATTCCTTCCACTTAAACATAATTCTCACAGCAATTGTTTGGACATTAGAGAATGTAAATTTTTTCTTTTAAAGGTCTTTGTATTCTATTGGCATCTTAGAACTTCAATTGGAAAATCTTCTTTCCTTTGTATAACTAAAATTGTTTCTTAATTTACTTTTCCAATTAAACATTCTTTCTGAACTACTAGAAATGATCTTATCCAAATATAAATCATAAAATGTTTTAAGATAGCTTAAATTCCTCTGTGGACTCACTGTGCTCTGGCTGCATAAACTGCATCTCTCCTCTCACTGGTTAGTTCCCCCTCCTTATAAACTTTTATCTCAAAAATGATAACTTTTCCTAGTTGGCTCCTTGGAGTCATACTTTTTGAGATTTTGTTTCTTATCTTGAGACTGCCTAAGATACCCACCCTTTCCTTCCACCTTTATTAACCTTATTATGCCATTCCTTATCTGAAGGCAATGCAGGTACTTTGCCCACTTATCAAACCAATTGCCCTTTCTTCTTTTTTATCTTCTAATTAGTACAACGTTCCACAGTTAAATT